TTGTCTTTACCTAACAGAGTTCTTGTCAAACTTTTGTCTTTACCTAACAGAGTTCTTGTCAAACTTTTGTCTTTACCTAAGAGTTCTTATCAAACTTCTGTCTTTACCTAACAGAGTTCTTGTCAAACTTCTGTCTTTACCTAACAGAGTTCTTATCAAACTACTGTCTTTAACTTCTAACTCATGGTTCAGGCTCACTTATAAAACCCCAACCACGTGAAAAAAAGTTGACATTTTTAAAATTAAAGTGAGCTTCAGTTAGACACTTAACTCTCCAGAGATGACTTCTGTTAAAGAAGTGGAAAAGCATCTTAAGCTTTCTGACAATCCAGATGTATCTATTTAAATACTATTTTGATTCTGAAAGTGTATACTTGTTTGGTATTTACAATGAACAGTTTGGAGATTACATAAAGCTAATTTAAGTAGTACCTCGTTGTTGGAGAAGGGGTCTCTTTCTGGGTTTCTGCAGAAGTGGTTGTTGAACAACTTCCAATTCCTGTCTTTAACTGTTGAAGGGCAGTCAATAAATGCTCCAGTACATTGGTTCCATCATGTTGTAATGCAGAATTGACAAGTGGTTGTTGTGGTAAGGAAGTAGCTCCTTCAGAACTAATTGGCTGCGAAGACAAGGAACCAGTTCCGGTAACAGTTGGGTGTCCAGGTGTCAAACTACTAGATAATCCCATTCTTCCATTACTAACTGGTTGTCCAGATGTTAAAGGACCAATTAATCCTGTTCCTCCAATACCAACTGGTTGTCCAGATGTCAAAGAACCTACAGTAGCCATTGGCTGTTCAGGTGTCAAAGGACCAGTTAATCCTGTTCCACCAATATTAACTGGTTGACCAGGTGTCAAAGATCCTGTAACTACTGATTGTCCAAGCATTAAAGGACCAGTTAATCCTGTTCCTCCAGCAACAAATGGTTGTCTAGGTGTAAAAGGACTAAGGAATCCAGTTCCTCCACTAACAGATGGGTTTTTTGGTGATATGGAACTTGTTAAAGTAACTCCGCCAGCAGCAAGTGGTTGTCCAGATGGTAATGAAGCTGCGGCAAAGATTTGTTCTGGGATGGAACTTGTCACTCCATTGGAAAGTGGTTGTCCTGAAAACAAGAAATTAGACAAGCCTACTCCTCCTGCAGCTTGCAGTTGTCCAGATGACATGGTACTAGGTAAGGCAGATCCTCCAGTAGCAAGTTGTTGTTCTTGAAGAAAAGAACTGGTTAATCCAGCTCCTCCAACACCAAATGGTTGTCCTGTTGACAAAGAACCAGTTAGGTTAGGTCTTGCAGAAGCATACTGTTGTCCTGAAAGAAAGCTATTTAACCCAGCTCCTCCTGCAGCGACCGATAATCCCGACGGTAGTGAATATGGAGGATGTGTTCCTTTGGTAACAACTGACTGTCCCTGTAACAAGGAATAAAGCATTTCAACATTATTGAGAGATGTAGGAACAGAGGCTGGGTTGTTTTGAAGAGCAGAAAGTAGGAGATTCAAATCATTTGTTCCCCTCGGAAAACCATGAGTAAAATTCATTGTACCTGCTGGTGTCGAGGAGTGAATGTTTGAGGAAAATACTGAAGAAGATCCAGCTGGGTTCCCAACAGGCATGTTTGGCTGTTGAAACTTCTGAACAAAGTCTTTCAAGGCCTCAGCTCTGTCACTTAATGGAAGCTCCATACTTTTCAGTCGTTGCTCTACAGCAGGCAGGACCATGCTGCTCTTCATGTCTGCAAGTTTGGTCTGAACTTGTAGTCCATATAACCACATGCTGCTCTTGCTTTTCAAGGATGTTAACTAGATATATGTGTAATCATGATTAATATCGTACAAAAATGCAAGTATACATACAAATATACCCTGTAATTAAATGCAGCCTTACATAAAAACAACACCTCACAAGTTTTTGCTTCATGAAAAATCTGGAAGTATGAACACACTCTGGAAATATATGTATATAATCAGAGCACAACTTCTTTAGGACATAAAAATCTTCATAAAACTTAGTTCAAAACTGTTACACCTACTGACTAATCAGAATTTTGGTAGTTTATACATCATTCATGAAAATGTGTAACTCAAAAATTAGATTGTTTAACACACAGAATAAAAGGGAACGTTATCTCATACATGGGTTTGGAATAGGAAGCAAAGTCACCTAGCTGAACTGTTTATTTACCTCCCAAATTTTGTTGTGTCCATGTGAAATTCCAAGACACTTCACTTCATTACGGTCTGTTAAAGTGCAATACCCTGAATAAGGTTTAGAGAGCATTTTATGCGTTTGTAAAAACAAAACTTTTATCTGGTTCACAATAAATATATATTTAGTTTCTACAGGTCATCCAAACAGCTAAAGGACAAATAATTATTCATTATTCCTAGTTTAAAAAATGTTAAAATAAAAAGGATTTTTTTTTATTATATTCACATTTTATTTACCAAAGTTACTAGAAAGGTCAAGTATATTATTATAAATTATTTTGACCAAAAAATAACTAGGACATGTTTAGAAATTGCTTAATTATGATAGTAAAACTTGTAATTGAAACAATATAAAATTTTTGGCAATTTTAAGTTTTGGAATAAATTAAACCAACTTATTTGTTTCTCTGTTGGTTAAAAGAGCGAACTTTGACAGTTATTTCCATTTTTTTTATACTTCCAATCTGGTTACTTGGCTAAAACTACATCTCCAGCAAAATTTGTAACAATAAAACTGAACATGTATTTAGGCACTTCGCATCTTTCATATTTGTTGTAACATGCGTAAGTGAAAACAAAATTATAACTTAATGCATTACAGTTTAATGTTAATTTTTTTTTTTTATCAAAAAGCACTGTTTTTTTTTAACTCGTATATGACTTAGTCGTTTATTGTGACATTTGAAAATAGGTGAAAAGTTTTCTTTAATAAATTATAGGAGAAAAAAAAAATTTTTTCATAAACGTTTTTGTGTCTCATTCACAGAGAAAATTTTCTGGCAAATTCCATAAGCTTAATGTTAGGCAAAAATTATATCAATTTCAACTTTCCATGACTCTGCCATCAAAACTTTAAACAAAATTATACGGGCAACACACTGGAAGCAACCATATATATACATGACTTCTCTGTTTCATACCTTCAAACAGCATTCACTTGGAGGAGATCGAAAAGAAACATCAATACGAAAAACCACCATTCCATCCACTTCGTCAATAAGACGACTACGAACAGTCTCCAGGTATTCCCCGTGTCGGCCATAAACTTCAGCCATCTTGGCCTCACAGAGAATGCAAACAGCATGTATCACGTGGGTGGGAGGACAAGAGACAAACAGCTGACATCCTGGAACTATGTGGTCATCAGAGGTCGGAGGTTGAAGTAGTACACAGTTGTCAGGAGTAATCTCTTCTTCCAGGTCAGGACTACAGGTTAAAAGTTCTTATATTTTATACTAAATGTCTATGACTTTGCTACTATTAAATTCAAAATATTGAATCTCAGCTAAAAGTGTTAGATCTTTCAGTAATTTTTTTTTAATATAAAATCACATCATTTTTTAAAGCTTAACTTTACTGTTTGTTTTTAATAACATTTGGAGGTGGGTGAAGGCTAACTCTGATGGGCTGAAAGGCCTTTTGTCACCTTGTTTTTTCTTATATCTTTGTGCTTTACATTTATTTTGGTCCAGAAGAGAAATAATTAAAATCAAATATATTCCTTAACATTAGACCGCCAATAAATTAATGTCGCTTATTTTAGATGAAAAAACCCAAACAACTTATATATCAAAACAAAACATTTATTAAATGAAATAGTCTCCATTCTTATTGATGATGCTTTTCTATCTTATAATCAGGTTGTTATTGCCCTGATCAAAGAATTCACTTGGTTTTGAAGCAAAAAACATGTCCTCGTTAACACCTTCCACATTTCCATATGTTTTCTCATTAATATGGTGTTGCAGCGAACAAAAAAGAT